CGGTTGGAAATTTTGGGAATTAAATTTTCAATTGAGTTATTCAATGAATTAAGAATAATTTAAATACTAGATTTGTGCAAGGGATTCCCGACGCTTTACTGTTTTTCAAATTTGGATACTTTTTCCGTTAGTCACTTGTTTCACTTTAATTTATATTTAAAATTAATCTTTATTATCTAGTATTAATTTAATATTTTTCTTTAATTTCTTTGTTTATTCTATTATTCTTTTAATTTGTCTCTCTGTGGAATCGACACCCCAAAGCTGTGCTACAATTACCGCGTTATTCTTTGGGCGTAAACAATACTCTTCAGCGTAAATCATACGTGAGATCTTGTCTCTTTACCTTCAGGAGTGAAACTTGTTAGCTGTTGCTGGGTTTACACCCTGAAGTTTCTTGCGGATGGTACTATTGATCATCACAAGGCTAGAGTTGTAGTGAATGACTTTACTCATGTACCAGGTCGTGATTTTAGTGCTACCTTTACCCCCGTGGTAAAATTGACTACTATTCGACTGATTATTTCTCTGGCTGCGGAATACTCTTGCCCTCTTCATCAGTTGGATGTAAAGAATGCATTTCTTCACAGTAATCTGGACGAGATTATTTATATGAATGCACCACCGAGCTTCCGTGGTGAGGGGGAGTATGCTGGAAAGGTTTTTCAATTGTGTAAGTCTCTTTATGGACTGAAACAGTCACCACGAGCCTGGTTCTCCCGCTTTAGTGATGTAGTTGTACATTTAGGATTCACCAGATGTCATTCTGATCTTACCTGCTTCATTCGACTGAATACTTTCGGACAGTGTGTCATCCTTTTGATATATATTGATGATATTATTATTATTAGAGATGATGTTTCTGGGACTGCGCAGGTTAAGGTAGACCTTGGGAAGGCCTTTGATGTAAAGGATCTTGAATTTTTGTAATACTTTCTTGGGATTGAGGTTGTCCGTAGCAGCAGAGATATTGTTCTTTCTCAGAGAAAGTATGTTATGGACTTTCTCTTAGACACTGAGATGCTGGGGTGCAAACTGGCATCATCACCCACGATTCCAAACTTGAAGCTTACTGTTGAAGGTGAGGAGTTGGGAGATCTGACTGTCTATCAGAGGTTGGTAGGTAGACTTATCTACCTAGCCAACACTAGGCTAGACATTTCATTCGCTGTTAGTCGAGTTAGTCAGTTTATGCACAGACCATGTTAGCCACATCTTGATGCAGTTTATCATATTCTTCAGTACCCTAAGTCTTGTCCTGGACTTGGGTTGTTCTATACATCAGGATCTCAGATTAGTTCTCTAGCCTGTTATTCAAATTCAGATTATGGGGGAGCATGTGATGGTCGTTCTACTACGGGCTTCTGTGCTTTTCAAGGGACTCATCTTATCTCTTGAAAAAGCAAGAAACAGTCAGTTGTCTCTCGTTCGTCAGCAGAGACAGAGTATCGGGCACTAGCACTTGGCACATGTGAGATTATCTGGCTACGATCGATTCTTGGCGAGTTGGGACTTCCAGTGACTTCTTCATCTACTTTATATTATGATAATCGATCTGCTATTTAGCTCGCTTCTGATTCTGTATTACACGAGAGGACGAAGAATATAGAGATCGATATACACTTTTTTCGGAAGAAGGTTAGCAGTGGTATTGTCACTCCATCGTTTGTGGGGACTAGTGATTAGGTTGCAGATGTTTTCACCAAACCTATCACTCTATCCATTTTTCGAGACTCTATTATCAAGCTTGGTTTAGTTGACATTTTTGCGCCTAACTTGAGGGGGAGTGTTGGAGATATAGCAACTTAGTTTATTAGGGTTTATTAAGTTTCTCTTTTTTACTTTTTTATCATTATTGTAACTTTCATTGGCTNGTAGATATAGCAGCTTAGTTTATTAGGGTTTATTAAGTTTCTCTTTTTTACTTTTTTATCATTATTGTAACTTTCATTGGCTATATATACGGGGACGCTGCACTTAGTTTGTATCCCTTTTTCTCTTTCAAATATTTCAAGTTATCTTATAGAATCCATTAAAGCTAAGCAAAGAGCTTACAATTATTCACAACATGACATGCGACGACAAAAATCTTTGTGTGGAGCTCGAACCAAAGTGGCCACGACAAAGGATTTCTGAATTTAATGAATGGTTTGCAAAGAAATGGACATCAAATTATCCAACATTGAGAAAACAAATGCAAAATCACTCAAATAATTTAAACATATTTTTTGAGAAAGCAGAAAAAAATATGATTAAAGCACAAAACTGTACAGATCTATGTAGATAAAAAAAATACAGATAAAAAAAAAAGAATTAGGGTATGTAATGTACAGATCTATGAAGATCTATGCATATATATATATACAAATCTATGTATATATATACATATACGTATACAAGTAAAAGGGTTACATTACCTTCTTCGTTTTCGGCTATGAGTCTTCTTCGTCTGTCAATCTGTGAGTGGAAGAGAGAGTGAGAGTTGCTGAGAGAGCTCCGGAGAAAAGAGACATACTAAGAGAGAGACGAGGAGAGAGAGTCGTTGTTTACCTTAACAGAAGAGAGAGAGTGGGCGAGATGAAACGGTTGCAAAGGGAATGATATGTGCAAAGAGCAAGAGGCTGAGACAAAAGATCCCATTTATACTCTCTCATATTAAGTGAGATTTTGTGGCTAACAAGACTTGAAACTGATACCTCATTTAAATAAAAAAAACACGTGTTTTCTGTTTTGTGTGTTTCATAGAACAAAAATTTTTTGTTCCCATTATTTTATCTTTATCTCCAATACAACGAAAATAAAACAAAATCAAAACAGAGCACAAACATATTTTTATTTTTATTTTTGATAATTTAAAAACAAAAGTACAAAATTCAAGACAAAAACAATTTCCAAACGAAACCTAACTTTTAGCTGCAACTTTCGACGATATAGGATTAGTTCTAGGTCGTAGTGGCTACGTAGGGCCCCAGTTTTTTCACAGATTTTGGGCTGCATTGTTAAAAAGCCCGAAGCTACTATCCTATGACCACTAACAACGTTAGCCCACTTGAAATATCTACTTCAGGTTTGATTTGTTACCTTTGAACTATTGACCCAGTGATATTTGACCCCTCTCTCTCTCTCTCTCTCTCTCTCTCTCTCACACACACACACACGAGAATATATACACTACAACGATGATATCACATGAGATGGTAATGTGGTACCATTAACCAATAATATTAACATAAATAAACAAATAAATTTCACAAAAAATAATAACTAATCAAATAACTCTCTACTCCCTTTTAATGTAAGTCGAAATGGAGTTTTTTTTTTATCCATTTAGAATATTATTATTGATTAGTGATACTATATTGTATTCAATATTTACTCCTTCTCTCTCTCTCACACACACACATACACACACAAAAAGCATCAGTCCCTAAAGTTCTTTTATGACTTGCAAATAGCAATCAACTGAGCAAGAGTCTAATTTCTAGTACTTAGTACGACTTTCGATTTTTGACAACAAATAATTTAAAGAAATTTTGGAGATATTAATCTAGAATTTTGAATTTACTGATTTCATATTTCGATATTATCATTAATTTACAATTTGGCTTGTTTTTTGCTTGAAAATTAGCTGCTTAAATCGATTGGTTTCGCTCTCATAGTGCCAAAAACAAATACGGAAACTTTACTAACATAAACGATTGGATTACAAAACCATGTTACTGACAAAAACATATAGTTCAACGTTACAATATTGGTNATAGGTTCCAGAAAATGATCACTCCTGCACGAAGTTAGGTGTTCCATGTTCTTCAAGTTAGTAATCTTTTAGATGGTGAGGGATAGATACTATCATACTAATCATTCAAAGCCTCTCAAAATCTCTGGGATATTATTAGTATTAATGTGGGATATTAGTCTCTCAAAACACTCAAAAAATTACTCAATGAAATCCTTTTTTTTTTCTGTGTTTATCAAGGTGGTGCCACAGTTGGCTCAACGGTCAGATTTTTTAAAAATTAATGGGNTGAGTCGCATGAGACTTAGTTTACATGAAATTCGAAACGATTCCAAAATGAAGATGTCTTGTTAAATATGACTCCGCCAAATTGTATTGATATCAGTCAATACTTTAAAACTATGCAAAAAACATTGATTGTAGTTTTTGAACATAATTCACACAAATTATAACCAATGAATACATTTTGGTGAGTGAATTGAAATTCCGCTATAAATCCAGAGATATTGATTCCTAACTAGAAAAANCTCTAAGCTTTGTCCCTTTAACAATAAAAGTCTCTCCAAGGTTGTGATCTTCTTGTCTACCTTTTGGGTTTTTTTCCTACATGATGTTCAGGTTTGTACTAATTATTCTTTCAAATTCAGTAGTTGTTACCGTAGTTTGAGTTGAGTTAGAATATATCGGCCAGGAACAAATATACTTGACTCTTAGGAGTGTAGAAAGGAATTGAACCTATGACTTTATTACTAGATATCAGAATCAATTATTGAATCACCGTTATCTACATTTGGGTTCACTGGAATGGCTAGCCACTCTAATTACGCACCTTTAGGTGTTGGGTTCAACTCTCCCCTGTAATAGCCCGACAAAATGAAAATATTTACCTTAAAATAATATTATTTGAGCCTATCTTGACATAATTTGTTAGTGTAATTCATCACAACAAATACTAAATCCACTATCAATTCAAATGGTTATAAGTTATTATGTTAATAAATTATATCAATACATGGATACTTCTTTCAAGAAAAGTAACTACTAACTTTTTTGTCTTTTTTAGTTAAAAATTTTGACCAACAAAATTATCTTAAAAAAAATACAAAAGTAAAAAAACTACTCTCATGAGAACCAAGTTTCAAGAAATTAGTAAGTGCAATAAAACCTAGAGTCAAGAGTAATACTATTAAAATGTAATTTATTAACTCAATTAATTTTGGCGTTAAGCCCTCAAAAATGGAGGGCAACTAATGTTGGAGAGAACTTATTTTCGTGGTTCAATAGATATTCTATCTACGTTCACAAAAATAGTTGTTTTAGTATNATTAGACTTCTCAATTGCCAAGTTCCTTTGTAGGAGAATAATTGTCTCAGCCATTTGTTTGGCACAGCAAAAAAATGGAGTCTTAGTTTTAGATTTTTTGGGGGCTAGATTCTCCTTAGCAATGATCATCTTGGCCTCCAGTTTCCTCTTAGCACTGGCAATTGCTGTTTCTTCCAAGCTCGCAACCATCTCAGTTCTAGCACCTGCAAGGCACACATCAAGCAATTAAAGTGAGGAAATATGTTCATAAAAGAAATCAGAAAGAGAAAAGGCTATACCACTTCTTTTTTTGAAGACTTGTGGTGTGTTCGAATCTCGGAAGCTGGTTGCATAGGATAATTTAAATTTTTTTACGGTTTTAATCATAGTTATCACTTTCAACAACTCCTAGATTCAAAGCTAGGGTGATTATCTAACTCAAACACCATTACTGACTAAAAAGTTAATTTTCTTATATTAATCAAGTGTAATACTAATTGAAATGGCTACCCAATCTAGAAAATCTCTTCTCTAGGATTTTGGAGAAGTTTTTCTAGGTCACTTGTCAAACCTAACTAATGTTTCCTAATAATGTTTCCACTATACTCACCCCAAAACCTCCAATCTTCACTCAATTCATCTGTACTATTGCAATCAATTAAGTAATTGAGATTTAGAGACTCATCCTTGAGCCTAGCGTTTTCGATTTATATGAGAACATAGTATGGTAACAAAACATGTCGAAAATAGGTTCCAGAAAATGATCACTCCTGCACGAAGTTANCTCAAATAGATTTATCCAATGATCATCAATATCTTTCTTAAAATTATTTATATTAAATTTCCTCACCCCCCCCAAAAAAAATCTATCACTTCTTACTTATACCATACCTGAAGGTACGGATTACTCATAGTATATCCATAAGACTAAGTGAATACCGATATACTCACTCACTAGCCCTTGGATTTTGGGCTTAGTAAATAGAAGTCACTCACTAATTCCAACAAACCAATACTCGATACTAATGAGCTCTGAGGGAAAGACTTCTAATATTTTTCTGACCAAATATATGTACCAAAATTTTCATTCCTAATGATGTGGGCCATTTATGGAAATTAGAACAATTTGTGGGACTTGCCATAAATTTGGCATACTTTACTTGGCCATATTTTAGTTTATACCATCCCCAAATCATGGAATCCCAGGACAACTTGTGTTAAACAATCCTGTCAGCTGGCAAGTTTTCTCGAATTTATTTGTTTAGCATTCCTCACATACCCCAAGTATATATGGAGGATTTTCCAAGTAGTTACAAAGAAATTAGTGCTCTCTTTCACGTTATATAGAATTACATTTCCTATGATGCAAAGAAAACTGATAAAAATTTGCATTATGAAAGAATTATGATCCATGCGTGCATGTGGTGTGTTCTATAATTAAGTCAAATCTAACAATATATGGCTTAACTCGAGTAAGTTCAACTCGACTTAAAAGAGGTTTTTGTCTCTGAATAATTTTCTTTGATTGGCAAACAGTTATTATTCCAAAGATTTTTTTTCTTTGTGAATGGTATTATCCCAATGATTCACAAGTTTTTGTTGAGCTTTACCCATCACAACATACTCAAACTTGACAAACTCGGCGTGATTAACCACCCTATGTGTGTGTCTGTGTGTGTGTGTGAGAGAGAGAGAGAGAGAGAGAGAGAGAGAGAGAGACCTGGAAATCTAGCAGGAAAGCTGATTCCATGGAGTGGAGCTGAATGGCAACCGGCACTCTCGGTACTTGCCAAAAAGCTGGCCATGGCTACCAGGCAGAAGAGGATATGACGACCTCCGATGTACATGGCTGAATCTACTGCTCAACACCACCATTAGTCTCTCTTGCACTCTCTCTCTCTCTATAGATATAGATATAGATACACGTAAGAGTGTTCATGAAGGAACAGACATGAATTGAAGTGGTAAAGAGAGGAACTTTCATATGCCCTCATGAATCATACAATCAAATTTTTTATTGATTAATTGCTGGCGAGGTTATTTGCAACTGATCTTGTCGCTATTATTTTATATTTCCGGTCCACTTTAATCGCCACTGTATTGTTTCCTAGGGTGCATTACACTTTTAACTCCTCAAGTTTCCTCCAATTTACTTTTCTTCTGTTTTTACTCAGCCCAAACTTACTCTAACTATTATTTTTTGGATTCATGGTTACAACTCAAATCTTGAATGCACGTAATTACCGGCATGGGCTGTTTATTTCTAGGTGGGCATTGGACACTTTAACAAGCTTTAAAAAAATAATGAGATACATATATGTTTAATTACATCAATGTTCAATATTCAGAAGTTTACTAAATATAGGCCAAATATCTGTAAACTTTCCCTACAGAATCCAAAAATAACAAAAAAGACTAATTACAAGCTTTTACAATAAATGAAATCACAATGATCCCGATGAATTTTCATGTTTTAGAAGTGGGGTGTCGAAAGTTGCTACTTGTTCTTCTTTCTTTGTTTCTCTTTTTTCCTTGCACTGTGTAACGAAGTAATGTTTGTGTGGTGAGCCTCGAGGGTGTTGATAAGAAGATGAGAGAAAATAGTTCATTCTCGTATAGGTCATGGGTGGGCACTATGGTGAGCACCACTAAAGTTATATTAAAAAAATATGTATAATATATATAGGTGATAATAAAAATCAAGGTGGGCCTGTGCCCCTCTTAGGCTAGTACTAGCTCCACCCTTGATCACCAACAAACCACACGTCAACCAAAGTTTTATGCACCCAAAGAATTTGAATAGATGATGGTTAGGTTTACACCTCGATCCTTTCTCAACCATTGGACTTACTCATGACGATTTAATTCATCCAATTTTCACTTTGGTCTATTTTATTTTTTTGTTTTCCTTTAGTTTAATCCTCCCACTACAAATACAATACAATTTGGGCTAACCACAAGAAAATTGACATGTAGAATCACATTACACACCAATATCGTTTTTCTATAATAACGCGTGATATTTTTTAATGAGTTATTGATTGAATTGAATTAAAACTTGTCCGAAAGTAAGCGAATGAAGAAAGCTAGGAACCAAAATAGGAATGGACATTAACTGTGAGAGCAACAATGCAATTAAATCTTTTTGGTATATCCTACATTAGTTCATACTTTTGTTTGATATTGAGACACCATCTCTTATGTGACCTAAGTTGCTTTTAGAAAGGGTTACATAATGTCAACTCACCCATCTCTTTTTTTTTTTAACTCACCCATCTCTTAGCAAAGCAGGACCAGTTCATATATATAGCTTGAACCCAATTGGCTATTGTGCTTGTTTGACTCTCTATGCTTCAAGTAATTAAAGGCATGTCCCGCTCATCATGTATTTAAAAAATACACAGGTCAAATGAAACTGACAATGAAGATGGCTCTCTTCTACCTATCTTTAGATCATAGGTAGCCATTTCCCAGATTTGACCTTGTCAAACATCACGTGATGGGTACAAATTTTGAAGAAAAAATATTTTTAATAGTCACGTGAAATTGGGTTCTATATATCCAATATTTTTACTTAATTTAAAGATTTAATCTAGAGGTTTAATCAATTATAATGATTGAATCAAAAGTGGCTTTTATTCATTATTATAATTCACAATTAATCTAATGATTATAATTAATAAAATCTCAGATTAAGTCCCTAAACTACTGCTTCTCTTGAAAATGAACTAAAAAGTAGATAGAAGAGAGCACTTTAGTTTTCATTTCATCGGTTGTGAATGTGTCTTAAGTTGAGCTGTTTTAAATGGGATTAGAAACATCTATAGTTATTTCTTTGTTCAAAACACACGCACGAGAGAGAGAGAGAGGAGAGAGAGAGAGAGAGAGAGAGAGAGATCACTTCATAAGTGCAAGACAGATTTACAAATGGAAGAGTTCCATGGAATGCCTCTTGATTTGATTCTCCTCGAAGCAGTCCATGATTAACTGGACAATGAAAGTTACACTTTCCCAAAGCAAAAACTTCTTCATAGCACAAAATCCTTCCACTTGTAGAACTACTAAATTGTACCGAATGAGTCATGTGTGATTCATACAAAATTTGAAACGACTATATTCTATCTAAGTGTTACGATACTAAGTGTTATCATACTAGGTGTTATCCATAGAGTGCTAGACGGAATGAAAAGTTAAATACAATGAGAAATTTTCAAGAGCGTGGATTTGACTCGAAGACATCTTGAACTAGTCAACCAAGTCGAATAAGATTTAGTTTACACAAAATTGGGAATGGCACCAAAACCGAAGGTGTTGTGTTAGATATAATTCCACCAAATCGTATTGATATCAACCAATATTTTAAACTATGCAGAAACATTGACCATAATTCTTGACAAAGATTTAAGAGGACAAAAGGGAGAGGAAAAAAGTACTAAACCATGGCCTAAGACTCAGCTTCCACTACAGCACCTTCCTTTGCTGGGAATGAGTCCTCTAGATCTAATTTCTTCTTCAACTCTTCCTCTGTAGACAAAGCAGCTCGAGTTTCAGAAATAGCCTCTTCGAGACCCTTTATTAGCTCTATTAGAGTTGCCTCAGCTACCTCAGCTCTCTCATTGGCCTCTCGGGCTGCCTCCTCGGCTACAAGTCGATAAGACTTCTCAATTCCCAGGTTCCTTTGTAGGAGAATGAATTTCTCGAACGCAACATTGGCCTCGAGTTTCCTCTTAACACTGGCAATTATTGCCAAAGTTGTTAGTATCGTACGATACGCGATATGTATCGTACGATACGTTACGATACAGCCCTAAAACGATACGGATCGTAGTTATGTATCGTTTTTGCGTTGTATCGTCCGATACACGATACGATTTTACGATACGATACGTATCGGTACGAAACGCACGATACGTGCAATTTTTTTTTTTTTTTTATAAACGACGTCGTTTTGTGCTCTGAATTTTTTTTTTTAATCCCTATAACCACTGAAACGACGTCGTTTCAGTGGTTAGGGTTACAAAAAAAAAATCAGAGATTTCTCACATATTTGCCCTTCGCTATCGACGACGTCTCGATCGACGACGTCTCTGGTTTCTCTTCAGCCATCGACTGTGGGTGGCGATCGCTATACACTGTCTCTAGTTTCTCTTCAGCCATCGACGACGAGTGGCGATCGCTATGGGTGGTGATCGCTATGGGTGGTGATCGACT